ATGCCCTTGTTACTAGTAGTGATGCCAGGAGCTACTAGTAGCAATGCCAGGAGTTACTAGCAGCTTCTTGTTAGCAAGGGAGAGGGGCCATGGTATGACATAATCCAACATAGATCGTTCGCCTTCCTCGATCCGACATGGCCACTGAACGTCACTAGGGATCCAGTCATACCGAACCTCAGAAGGTACTTGGACCCTCCGACCTACACTGTCTCCAATCACCAAACCTGAGGTTCGGTACGACTGGAGCCAAGCAGGGCGTCCGGATTCAGGAGGGACGGTCTCCTTCGTGTGCGGAGGGCGCTCCGGCGCTCCGCCCGCGAAAACCCATGGTCAATCTGGACGAGGAATCCGTTCTTTTGACCCACACCCAACGAGCATCGTGAGAATTGGTGTTTCCTGCGGCTAGGGCATGGTGTTTCCTCAATTTCAGATGCTGACGAATCAGCAGAACCACGAAACTACGATAAATAAACAAAGAAATCAACAAGCACCCCATGTCATATGTTTGGGATGATGTCTCACCTTGCCTCTCCTCACACCTGCATGGGCAGATGTGTTCAATCGGCAGCCTTTGAGAAGGTCGAGCACAGCTGAAGAATTTGAAGGACTGAGGTTCCAGATACAAAGTCTATATAATCCTGCCAATGAGATTCTCAAAATGTCAAGGTGACTGTATGACAAGCTCCGCCAAACAGGGATACCAACAGTTTGGTGGGACTTGAGCAAAACAATGAAGGTACATGAGATATCATGGAGATGTTTCTTCCTGTCACACATCCGGTGGCTGATTCCGTCACACACCAACTCGCGTTCCCTGGTTGAAGTGTTCCTAGTGGTAGTTGATTTGGAACCTGGTCTTCCCAAGAGTCATCCGCTTCCGTATGTGATGTGTTTGGAGCGCACAGTTCAACATGAGATATCAAAATGTTTGTTTGGCCGTTGGGCCACCAAAAACATCGTGTTGTTATCAAGCACCAAGTTGGTTCAACAAATGCAGAATCCCCTGATCCTCCAGATCTTGGCTCCTAAGTGAATCACCCAGTAATCAGCGGTTTACAAACCAGGAAACGGCCTCACTTCGAAAGTTCTTAGATTCTGCGCAGTAATTTAGACTCTTGATTAATAAGCCACCCCAAATGAAGAGGCATTTCAATTCAAATGGGGAGGTTCTGGGGCGTTATTAATCAAGAGTCTACATTAAATGGGTGTACTTTTTAGCCCGGGCACCGCCGGCACCGTCATAGACCGTCAAACACCTGGGGGGGGTCGAGACCTGCCCCCGCGATGCCGAACTCGTGCGCATGCCTTCCCCAAGTCGCCAACCTCTCAGGAAAACACCCTTTGGGGCCGAAGGACTTTGGCCAACCAGCGAGCTGGAGATCAACTGCAAACGTTTGACCGGAGATCCGATCGTTGGAGGTGTGTGTCTTCAACCCGCGGGGCAGCCCACTGAGTGGTTATGCTCCGCCCAGAGAAATCACCAGAAGCTGGGCCGTCAAAGATTTCTGAGATCCGCACTAAATCATGCTGGCATGTGGTCTTCAACGTGCCAAGAGAATTGCGCTCAACTGGGCCTGAAACTATATGTCCTGGATCTGGAACCCCGGGATTTGAAGTTATGTCCAGGTATTCCTGGGACTGCTATGGCTCCACCTAAAAGTTGGGGCTCTTGAGGTCGCCCATCCACGTTGGACGCGATGGCTGTTCCAGGCTTGGGATGTGAAGCTGAACACCCGGCTTTAACAGTTCTGCCTCCACTCAAACACAGTTTGTCCAAGTGGGCTTGGTCGACCCTTCGCCCGGAAAAAAGGAACCAAACCGCCCGCGTCGCCGCGCGCGGTTTGACTGGGATCGGACGCTCCGATCGACTGGGCGGGAAGTACGTCTTCTCAGCATCTATCGTTGGATGGTCGGATCTCATGATCTCACGAAACTGCTTGCTGCTTGCCCCCCCTGACGATTTCTCGGAAGGCATCGGAGCCTTCTTCTACCAGACTCGACCCGGTAGGTGGCTCTCCACTCGATCGGATGTGTTCCGGGCTCTCCATGTCGGGCTCCGGGGGCGCCGGTGGCGGGTTTCGCACGTGGAGGGTCCAACGGTCTGAAACAGTCCGGTCCTAAAGCCCCAGAAGGTCCTGAAACAGTCTGGTCCCTCACGGAGATCATGGGCCACCTGGGAGTGCCAAAAACCGGAGTCCAATGGACAGCCTTTCCAGGGGAGGGACAATTTTCATGAATTTGGTCTCTAGTTCTGAGGTCGCCACAAATGGATACACGTGCTGCCGTCGGGCTCCGGAGGAGTATACGCCTTCCATGCCCAATCGCTGACTCTGGACCGGTCGCAACTCCCAAAAAAAGCAACGCCGGTCGCAAGGACGACGCCGATGTGAACCGGCCATTCCATGCAGTCGCCCTGCTAGGGTGGGCGGGGCAATGGACCGAACATGACCGGAAGAACGCTAGTCAAAGGCATCCACGCCGGGAAAGACATGAGCTGCCTCCGACAGGCCTCTATGGTGTGCGGCCAGTAGTCCTTGGATTCCTCCAGATGAGATCAAGATTGACAGAACCGCTTGAACATCCAAGGAAATTTGATAGGGGCGGCATATGCCCGTTCACTGGCGCCAAGCTCCGTGTGGTAATCCGTCTGATTGCTCTCAGATCCGTTGCCCCAAGTCGCATGGTAAGCGATTTCAAGCGACATGTGCTGTTCCAAAGCATCAAGCACCGGTCGACAGCGCTGAATTTGATCAAACACAGCATTTTTCTCGCATTGGTTGAAATGTCACTCCCTGAAAGGGCCCTCCAACCAATTCGGTTTTAGGTTCGGTTCTGATCATCTACCAGTCTTTGGAGGGGATTGTGTGTGTGTCTCCCTACTGAACTCGATGTCCAAAACGACACTGGATTCTGGATGTACTATGCTAGCCCGAAGCCTCCAAAAATATGCTTGGATGGTTAAGCTCCTGTGCCAGCTCCAACCTAAAACAAATCCATATAATGGTCTATAAGCACTCATCTTGCAAAGAAAAACGTCCCTCAATAGCGTTTGATTGAAAAAGACTTGATGCATTTCAGCCTCCGACCCTTCTTTTCTTTTCATTGTAACGGATGAGTTTCACCTCTCCGGCGATCGTTCACCAAACGGCTGCCACGCCACATCTACCGGTTTGGTCTCCTGGCCCACATCCTTTAGAAGGCAGTTAGACCCCCAAACGCACCCACCCCAACAACCTGAGGATGCGTGACAGGAGCCCTAGGGTTTGAAAGGCATTTCTGAGCCCGTCCGATCCGAGATTTGGTCCGAAAAGCATCGTCAAAGGGCAGGGCTGACCCCTTCTCACCCATCCAAACACTGCCAAACATCTTCTCATGAAGTTATATTATATATAAATATTTACATGTTGTAATTAGATTGTTCCTTGCTCAAGTTTCTCAAACCATGTAACTTTAACTTGCCTAAGTAAGCTAAACGAATACTTCCATCGTGGACTTGATGCTCCTGCCGGTCAAAATGGTGCCGAACTTGCTGCACGCTGGCTGCTAACGTGCAGTCGGCTAAAGGAGATATGCTGGAACGCTGTTCTGTCTGTTAGGTGCTTCTGCCAAAGTTTTTGTGGGGAATGTCTGCAACGCCACCCGTGCAAGGCTTCTTACTAAGAAGTCATTCAAAGTGCATCAGCAGAAGCAACTCATTGACGCAATCACAGCCTCAGTGCTTGCTTTTCAAGCACTGAATCATGCTATCGGCACTACTCACTTGATGCGCAGTCGTCCAGAAATCTCAGTTGCTAAAAGCATTCCAATGCGCAGCCACTCACGCCGGCCGAAGTAAGCAAAACACACCGCAGCAACGACAGTAGCAAATATGAGCTTTCCATCAAGTCGTACCATACTAAGAAAATAGGACCTTTCCTATGATTTGGCGTCGATATATCCATCTTGTCGGCAAGGTCAAACCAGCCAACTGGGGGTCCGGTGTTCCCTGAGAACCACCCGACCGCAGAAAAAGACACCGAACACCTCTGCTAGGTCTGCCTATCTCGTCAAGCCTTTTTCACAAAGAAGCCAAGTGATCCAAAAATCGCAGGTGTTCAAGAATAACAACACTGAACAAAAAACGCCTGCGTGCCTGAAATACACAAATCTTCCTGGCATCGCCTAGTTCCCGGCCAAATTCGATCCCCTGCAGAGATTTTCGTCTTGACCAGTCTAGACACAAAATGAGCTCTGCATGAGCTCTGGGTCCATTCTGTTCGATCATCTTCCTAACCTCCCTGAAGGACTTACACACGATGTTTCCTTTTGGATGGGCCCAAGTTAATCATGTTCATCCAATGGAAGTGCACACCCCTGACCCAAGAATAGTTTTGGGGACCAGGGCTTCTGGGGGACACCATGGGGCCGCCACTGGCCGCCAGCACATGGTCGGATATGGCCGGTAGTGTTTGAGGTCAACCTGATGAACTAGAAGGCCTCAATGGCAACCCTGTGCAAAACCAATGGCGGCCAAGCGCGAGTCAAGAGCTCTCTCTGCGCATCAAGCTTCTCATCTTCTTCAAACAGTGACACAGTGACACAAAGCCACGGTGGGTTTATATCATTCCTACGGAGGGACAGCCATCACTTGTTCCTCATGCCATCGTTACTTCTGGCTTGCCAACTATACACTGGTGGTGTTCAGTGCCATATAGAGTATCGTAGGTTCTAACCATCAATAGACTGCGTTCCCAGTGCTCAAACAACGACCAAAGATTCATACCATTCCATACACCTGCAGCTCAAACTCCGGTTGTTTTCCTGGCGTTCGCCCATGGCTATGCTCAAATAAATAGTCAATATTCTCCATGGCCTTTCTGGAGGGTAGAAGTAGCTTAACCGGCTGCAGCCCGTGTAGCCTTCTCTACCTCAGGAGATTTCTGGCCCTCTCAAAACAAAACTCTTCCTAAGCTCCTCGGAGGTATCAGCGACTTGACCTACAATTCATGTGAGTTATTTTGGAAATAAATCCCCCCAAGTAAAGAACATAAGCCTGAAGAACTGCCTGAAGACTATAGAGTGTTTGGTGGTCCTAGGGCCCTGGGGCCGTTTTGGGGTGCTTCGAGTGGGTACCCCTGCAGCCTTCGAACGAGAGTTCTTCGCATGGTCCCTCCTTCCAGCGCCCGCGAGTGGCGACCTCGGAAGTGTCATCGATTCGATCGAGTGGCGACCTCGGCCAGCGTAAACCACCCAAAGACGGTGGTACCAATGCTGATTTCCATAAGGTCCAGAGACACGATTCATGGACAACTGCGCTGCTAGTTTGTGTAAAGATCTGCTCTTTCTGATTGTTTGTTCGATTTCGAGGCCTTATGGTCTTTCATATGCATCTAACACGTCTTGCCCTTCCACCATCACCGCATGAGATGTGACGCCGGGGATCCCAGTCAAGTCGGCGTGGGGGAGGCCAAGCTGAGCTCCATGGCAGCATGCATTTGCCTACCTTGAGGCCTTGAGGTGTTCAGGTGTTTCAAGGGTCATTGATGGTCATTGTAGATGGATTTTCCATACATTGAGGGTCCGGGAACGCTCATCGTGGTCAAGATTCACGACAGCGGGTTCGATTGGGGTACGCTAAGATGAAACCCCGCGTTGAAACACATGGCAAGGACCTGAAAACCCAGCATCGGAACTCATGCCCTCCTCAAGCACCGCAACAAAAGCGGGTGGATGTTGCAGCTTTCATTCCATTTATTCCAAGATATTCCAAGCCTTTCAGCGCAGCTACAGGATGTCTTGTTTTTTCCATCTACAAAATGGCACAGCACTCCCCATCCTTGGCTCCCTCACACCTTTCGCTCCATCTTCACGCCTTGGAGCGATGCATCCGCGAAGGTCGGCATGCGGGCTGGAGCGCAAAGCGGAGTGATGGCAGTAGAGCTCATCAAAGCCTGCTGATCACTGAGAAAGCAGTATACTGTATACTTGAAACATCCTCAATCCTCTTCCAGCGTTGAGTGTATGTTCACAGATCTAGATCAGCAGAAAAAGGGGAGGAAGCGCATGTCTATCTTTTCTTAAAGAAAGGTGGAAGGGTGGAACCGGGTCATGTAACATGCAGGGTAGTAGAGGCTTTCCTCCAATTTTCAGTGGTTCCACCATCTTCCAGCCGCTCCGACGGCTGTGTGTTACACAGCCTGGCGGACCTTTGGACATGAGGAGCGCAGCCTTGCCATCAAAGATGGAGTGGAGGGAAATGGAAAGAAAACGAATTGTTTAAAGGGAATTACTTCAGAGATTTGAAAAATCAATTATAAGATCAACAAAATATCAAACATTTAGATAATTTTCCATATGAAAACAACATTTTAAGAAATACAGATCCAAACAAAATGGAATGAACATATGAAAATACTATCTCGGTGGAGGACGCCATGCTCGGTTGGAGGCCATTGCTACGAACAAGATACTCCAGCCAGGCCAGGCAAAACGGGTGGTTTTTCCAGGTGGACTCCCCGTCCAGCATCCAAGAGGGCGAACAGCAACCTTCGAAAGGGGACTGGACTGGGCGGTCAGCATCAGAGATATCCTGAAAAACATGTTCCGTCATTGGGGTGTCAACATGGCTCTCGGGAAGACCGGCTGCATGCCCAAAAAAGCTGCCGAGACCGATCTCACCGGCGTGGATGGCACGACTTCCAAAAAAGACCGTTGGCCGTTAGTACCGGCCAATCAAACATACTCCCCCGGAACATGGAACCTGAAAACCACTGGTTTTTTGGTTGAGTCGTCTTCTCCTCTGGTCGCCAAGCCCGGTTCCATGTGTCACCTGGGGAGTCGCCATGCATGCCACACAGCCCAGCGCCGCCGAGGCCGACAGCTGCCACTTCCTTTTGGGAGTAGGATGCCAAAAGGAAAAAACAACAACAATCATCAAACAAAACAAGAAGAAGAGAACATAAACCAAGCTATTACCAAGGTGAACTTCAAACGAAACAAGTTTCGAATGTCAAAAGATCGAAAGCCCCCCAAAAAATCTGGGCAACATTCAGCCCCCTCTGCTCTTCCTCCTCTCCTCTCCGCCTCCCAAGCGTAAGCCTTCTCCCGGCCCGACTCGGTGGCCACCGTGCCAAGCGTCGGTGGCCATGCGGCTGGCAAACCAATCCTGGATGCGGCCGGGCGTTGAAACACGGTCCCGGCTGCGGGTCGTTTCCCCCCGAGGGGATCACGCGGCAGGCAGTGGCGCCAGTGACCCCCACAGGGGTCATCCGAGTGCAGGGCCAGGCCCATCATTGTTCCGAGTGTGTGGAAGGTGCGAAGGTGCCGGGCCAAATCTCACGAAAAAGTGGGACACCTGACCCATCCTGAACCCCTCCAAAAAGGTGAACGGGGTTTTTGACTGATCAGTGACTGCCATAGGAGCCAGTCTCAAGTCTGTCTCCTACAAACCAACACGTCGCAATGGAAGTGGATACCCCAACATGTGGAATTCACCCGTCTCGGCCGCACTCCTCCATGTTCGTGTCAGTCGACGAACTGAGTCGGCTCACGGCGAAGGACCGGCCTCGGCAGTGGGTTGCCCAGAGGGGCGGCCACCGTTCTGCCTGCAGGTTCGGCGCAGGGCGGAGGGTGAGGCGGAGGGTGGCCGGAATTTTGGCATGAAGCATTAATATACAGTATATACAGTGTGTATATATATATATATTATAATAATATTATATTATATATATATCGATATACACCTCAACCCTAAGATCGGTTTGATTAGCAATTGAGATGATTTCACAGAATTCTTGATCGATCTCCAGAAGCATTTGGGACTGGACATGACAATGCGGGGTTTCACATGCTTTGCATCGGGATTTCTTGTAAAACAGCTTCTGTACTGGGATGATAAGCTCCTATTCCTGGGCAGTCAGGGAGTGATTTGAAAGCTTAAGTCGAATGAGCCTTAGGGTTTAGCAGCTAGCATCGAAAGCCATTATAGTTAGCCGCTAGCATCTATAGATGTAGTACATCCAAATGTAGTAGATCATGTAGTCAAAGCACAAAGGGCAACCGCGCTGTCTGATTGCAACTCACCATGCTCTACTGCCTCTCCGAAGCTTATAATAGCTGGTACTGTGTTGTGCAGGGATCGTCGTCAATCCCTCGGTGGTTAGAGTTTATCCACAGACTGAGTATACCTAGGTACTCGGCAAATTCCAGCTGGAGATATTTCAAAGTTTTTTTCAAATCCAGGTAGGAGGATGTAGGAGGGCTCTATTGATCAACAGTCTACATTAACATGTCGCGAAAATCAATCAGCCCGAGTGGAGGATGCAGTAGCTCCACTTTTCTGTTCCATGTTGGTCAGGAAATGGCCACGCCTCCGACTTTACAGCGCAGCAAAAACCCGACCGAAGAACAGCAAAAATGAAAACGGACTTGCGAGCTGACCCGCAAAGTACAGCATCTTGTAGCAACCAGAAAACACTAAACTTGACGTTTTGGTGCAACATACTTGCCCCGTTGGGGCGTCGTCTGTGTGTCGTTGTTCACCGTCGCTTTTGTTTGGTTCATCGCTGTCGGCCTTCGGGTCCTTTGACCGCCGCGTGAGCCTCGCTCGTTGCGGGGGCCTGGGCGGGTTCGTGGTCCCTTCCAAGGAGTGATCTACAAGGACCACGCGGTGTTTTCCAGGACTCCAGTCCGGATTTCAGGCAGCTACTGTATCTTCTTTGCAAGGAACTAAGGAAGCAAGGCTCCAAGGCTAGGATGTCTAGGATGTCTATATGCTTTGTTCGTCTTTGGAACCAGTTGCTCAGCAAAACTGCCTGGATCCGCTCGGGTGGAGACGGGACATCCCAATCGATGCACGGTTCCAGCCCTGGATCTGCTGTGCCGTGGCCAACTCTTCCTACTCTGGCTCGAGCACCGAAGCAAAACAGAGGTAGGGATGAAGCTCTGGAAAACCGTAGGTCAAAGGGCCTGGTATGGTCAAAGTTGGGTATGTCCGTGATTGCAGGGCGTCTCTAAAATAGTGATGTTCTTGTTTACCGACTGTTGGTAATAGGGCAGACCCTGCGGCATATGCATGTGCACCATTCCCAAGCACTCCATGCGACTAGACTAGACCTTTCTTTGGCCAGGTCTAAGACCCCTAAAATCCAACACCCCCGGATCACCTGCGAACGGCTGATGTCTGCCAGTCCCATGTGGATCGTCTGCGAGTTCGACGGTTGCGTTTCAAACGTTCCTCCCCATGGATCGGTCGTGGTTTTCAACGGCGTTTCTGGCCGTGTCCAACGGCGGAAACGGTTCGGAAGACTTCACCCCGGAACACCTTCTTCCCCGAGGTCGGCGGGGAACTTCACCCCAGGCTCTCGACTTCACATGGGAACCGGGAGCAACATACAAACCCGATCTGGAAAAACAAAGTCTTCCCTGGCCAACCCCCCTGAGAAGGTGGTTGGGGTGGGTGCCAGGGGGGTCTGTGCCCACCTTAGAAGGACCTTCTGAGGATATGGTTGAAGCCCCTGGGCCAGTCCCACGCCCTAAGAATCCCCAATAATCTATTGCACTGTCACTGGAATCTTGACCTACATTGACCACCCTACTCCATGTAGTCAGGGAGTGTATTTGTCATAATTTGGTCCATCTGAATGGTGCTTCCTGGTCATCTCCACCCAATTCTTATGTGTGTTGCTGAGCTGTATGTAGAATCTTGATGAATAACCCCTCATATGAAGTACATGCTTTTACGATCCATGTCTAGGGGGGTTGTTCATCAAGATCCTATATTTAATTACATCAATTGAGTTGACTGTTCCCTTGGGCTCCTGGCCGCCCCCTCCGTTTCGGTTCGGTGGGAGGGGCGGTGCCACCGAACCAAGGACACGATCGTCACCAGTGGTCCTTTGACGAACACCATCGGCCGAACCAGCGGGGTATCCGGATCACAAGCAGCGAGAGAAAAAGAACACCAGCAAGGTAATCTGTATATCTTTATATAGTTGTTCCAAGTAAGGCCTTTAATAGGCCTAGGCTTTCCCTGGAACCCATTTGACCTCTGCCAAAAGACCATATTTGGGGTGGTGGGTGGTCCAAAATAGAGGTCAGACTCAGGTTCTAGGTATATATATATATATATTTATACTATATATATATATTATAGTTGTTCAGTCTTCAGGCTCGTGGTCTATTGCACCCCCGGCTCCGTTTCAGGAAGCACCGCCCGGGACCCCCGGACCGTCCGCGGTGCCGCGTTGGGCGCGAGCGTTGGGCGCGGTGCCGCGGCTGGACCTCGGAGGGGGGGGGGGTGGAAGATAGGGAAGGTTGCGTTCGGTTGCGTTCTGATCCCCGGTTGACATGCATAGGTGGGGTAGGCACATAGATTTATCCAGCTGGTACAACCGGTGTTCTTGAATGTTCTTGGGCTGGTGGGTTGAGATGAGTTGAGACCCTTTTGGTCGGCGGTGGGCTGGTGCATCTATGTTCTGGTGGTGGCCGCGCCAATCCTTTGTTCGATACAAGTTCTTTGGGCGGAATGATTTGTTTGACAAAATTTAGTATCTCCACTTCCTTGTCCTGAAAGCAAATTGGTCGACAATGACAATGATATGCTGGGTTTAGTAGGCCTGGGTAGGGGTCACCCATGGTCACCCAATTAGCGCTTCCGAGAGTTGAGGGTTCGCATGGTATTGATTGACATGTTCTTGGCATAAAGGCATACAGTCATTGTTTCCCACTGCATCCACGTGGGCATCTACATTTGAACTATTGGTTGACTACTGCTGCAGTGGTCATATCCACTGGGATATCGTGTATGAATCTCCGGCACGTGCATGCACAGGTTTGACTCAACACCAGGGAGACCTCCCAAATGCCACTGTCCTGCATGGCACATCGCATCCCTAGCATTGACAGAAATGCGAGGGATCTTTCAAAAACAGCCAGCAAAGTGGATTAGTGCTCTCTGAGCATTATCTTTGCCCACAATACCACCCATTATGTTGAGCTGGCCCAGGCCGAAAGCACAGACCTTTGCAGAAGCAAAGCATTATCCAACACGGCATGGATGTGTGGATGAATGGAAAGGGTTTTGCAAAACCATATAGATGGGACATAGCATAGTATCCACCACGTCTTAGGTGTTGCTGGACCATATGCAACACATTACTAGGACATGGCGTGACTTCTTCAGCAGGTTTGAACCGTCTGCCCGTTCTCCGACGGCATGGCGAAGGGGACTGCGATGATGTTGAGTTGCTTTAAGTTGATGTGAGCGAACTGCATGATAGTTGGGTGTGTTGAAGAGGTATGAATTGGTGGAAGTTGAGTTGGGTGGGTGGGTTGAGTGGGTTGTGGGCACACCGATGAACCAGGTGGTTGCTTCTGGTGGCCTCATCCAAGTCTGGCTCATCCGCATCCCTTCATCCTCGGGAGGTGCGTACGATCTTCCTTCTTTTGTAGATGGCACAAACGACCCCAAGTTCGGGTGATGTATATGGACCCCATCTCAAGTCATCTTGGGGTCTGCGCCATCTACTCTGAAATCACTGTAGAATTTCGGGATGATGCTGTTACCTACATGATTCGTATAGAGCTTCTCTCACTAGAGATGTCTTTTGATCCATCCTCATGGATCCAGGCAACCCAGAGCTCTCTTGACTGGTCTACTTTCCGAACCTTTCAGGGCCAAGCTGCTGATCCTCCTTGACCTTTGGCTCCTTGGGGGTCCGCACCTCAAATAGTCGAGGTGACCAGTCGAACCGAACTGGTGTAAGGTAAAGCGGACATGATCATCGCTGAGCGCTGCATATTAATGGAGACTCTTGATGAATACAATCCCGAAAACGAACATAGACCCTGACAATGGCTGGAAGAGCGTTTTCCTCTACCAACCAGTGGTTTTCAGGGTCTATGTTAGTCTTCCAGGGTGTAACCCCCGCAATTTGGATTGTATGGACCTCTTCCGGAAGTGTGGGGGTGATGAATCAAGAGTCTACTTCAAGAGTCTGAACCACATCCACACCGCAACAGTTCCGGACCTGACAGACTACCGTCGATGTGCGAAGAACGACAGAAATGTCCAAGGCTTTCCAATGAAAGATGTGGCTCTGACATGAACACATGAACAGTCCTATATAATCAGAACATGTCCTTTCCAATCAACGCTTCTGCACTGACAGCACTTGAACAGCTTGCTCCGACAGCCCTTCACAAAACATCACAACCCCCACCAACGGATGCTTTCCACAGGCTTCACTCTCTGTACGTCGTTCCCACGGTCCGTCCGCGTTTCGTTCCCTTCGTTCTCTCGGTCTCCGCCGGGTTCCGACGAACGCGCCTCGCGCAAGTCCTTCTCCGGTTTGCTCCACTCCTTCTCGGGCTTTGGCTCGTTCACCTCCCGCGTGGGTCACGAACGGCGGAACGGCGGGTGCCGATGAGAATTCACCGTTCCGGAAAGCCGCCGAGTTCGGTCGTGGTCGAAGACGTCAACTATATATGAAGAGTTGATCAAATCGCACCTCAACCGTTGTGCCGCACATAGAAGGGCCTTCATATGGCATGGCAATACGATCCCGGTCAGGGGAGGTTTTTTGACATCAATCACGTTCGGTTGGTCAATTGAACCATGGCTGACCAGGCGCAGTGAGCACAGGCGTTGAACCATGGCGAGGCATCGGGGCCACTCGTTGGCGCGCCACGCCTGGCGCGTCTCGTTGGTGTCGTCGCTCTTCTTCCTCCATGCTGGTTCCCGAGGCTCTCGGGTCGTCGCGTTCCTTGCGGAGCTGCCACTGCGCGTTTCATGATGTGCCACTGCGCTCCGCTGTCACCAGCGTCTGAACCTGGGAGGTCTCTATGTGTCTATATATGGTCCCTATAGGTGTGCTTTGGCCTTAGATACACCAACAACCCTAAAATCAGAAAACAAAAGGAGGAGGCCGAGAGGACTACTCTCGATGACCAAGAGTTGCCAACAGAGTCTAGTTGCTTTCGCCTCCACCGTCTACTGCCACCGTCTTGAGACGGGAGTGCAACACATGCAAACACACTGGATACAACAAGAAATAAAGCACCCATGACATATGGAATAGTTAACTACCATTAATTACCTACTATTGACCCTTAAAACCTCTGAAAATCATCCCAATGTAGGCAAACAGTTCAATAATTCAGTCCAGTCCCATGGAGAGTGGTATGGAAGCGGATGGCTTGAACACTGAAAACAAGCCTACTCTCCTTTATAGGAACCGTTTTATGGAACCGGGTCAACAGATAGTACCCACCCCCCTTTTTGTGGCGGGCAGGGCGAAACCCTCCACGGACCCATGGTTCAGGGGTGTCTCTGGTCAAGTCGCCCCCCCCTTTTTGTGGTGACGCCCAAGGGTGTCCATTCCCAAACATGTGTGGAATAGTTACTGCATGCGTTCTGTGGATGACCATAGCCCCATCTACACCATGTATGACCCCAATATGAGTATGTCTCAATTATGGCTACATCGTTACTTTCCGTACCTGGATGGTCTGGCATTGGAGGGCCCTCCACTTCCATCGTTGTTTTGGATCGCTGAGCTGCTCTTTGGGACCGGAGCTGCGCCGATCACGGGCATTCTCCTGTGGCCAGCGAGCGGGAAGTTTGAGAAGAAATTGGCACGATCATGGTGAGGTAGAGACACTCATAAACCTCCATGAGCTGCATGTAATATAGATCCCCAAATAGGTAGATCAGTAGATCAGTGGATCCCACTAAAAATGTATTGGAAACCATGTCACTATCCATTTGGGGATCACTCTAGAGGTCTGAACTGGATTGAAATGATGCAAGGCGTTCAGCGCACCACCTGGCCGTGGCTGTCGGTCGTACGCCTGAAACAGTGCCAGTCAAACACCTGAAACAGGATTCACCTGTTGCAATCAATCGGGATCCCAAGGCCTGTGTCATCCGGTGAACTCTCCTCCTCCTATTGGAGGGTCAGCTGCCACGTGAAAACACCACTGAGCCAGTGAGCAATACTATCTCCCCCAATTAAAGGCATAGAAAAGGCATCGTCTTGGTCAGCTTCCATGATTGGAGGGAGTGAGGCTACCGGTCATTTGCTCGAACAGATTCTGGTTTCAACAAGAAGGCATCCTCGACCCAAAATGGCAAAATGTGGAAAAACAAATCGGGAGTGGGTGAGTTAGAGTTGCAGCAATTTCTTCGGTTTTGCAGTGCGAAACTCCAGCCAGCTTTGAAACATGTCGTCCTAAGAAACTCCTAGACTTGAGGAGCATCCCAAATATAACTGACTTAATGAAATGAGTTATATACACTCCCTGGAATGATCATGGAAATGGATTGCATGATTTGCACGAAGACCAAGCAGGTGATTTTCACTCCACGAAACCATGATAAATTCCAGCGAGTGTGTTGGGATGTGCTAGCATTACTTGGTCAAGTGCATGGAATCTACAATGGGATCAGTTCTAACCCCTCGGGCTCCAACAATATCCTCAGAAGGTGGTTAAGCTCTCCAAACCCACCCTAACCACCTTCTCAGAAGGTTTTGTTTCCTCGTCTTTTCCGCATTTTCCTCCCCGACAGGACAAAAATTGGCTCGTGAACTTGTCCAATATTTTACTCAACTACTGTCAATTGCTATGCAACACCGGAGTCCTGGTGGAGAAAAAAGAACAAACCAATCGCATGGATAAATCTTCTTCGGTTCGGTAGAACGCGCCACTGTGACCCATGGATGAAAAGGTCCAGTTTCCAGTTTCGGTCACTAGAAGAGTAAGGAAACCAGCTGGGTTTTGTTCATAGCTGTCATGGCTACTCTCAACACTTGCCACACTTGAAGGCCAAACTAGCCGCCAATGATGTACGCCCTTATAGTGGGCTCCCGGCATGCCTTTTATGTCGCAAAACCGAACAAACACGTACACACGGACGAACACATCACATGGAAGTGGAAACCACACAAAAGTCGTCCTCCCAGGGAGCCATTGTCCATTTCCATGTCAGTGAGAGGGTGAAGAACATCAGAACAAACAACAGGACCTGAAAACCACTGGTTTGTAGAGGAAAATAGTCTTCCTAAGATCCGTTTTTCCAGGTTCCATGTGGGTCTCTTCCCAGGTGTAGTGAGCTACAGATGTGTCATGATGTGTCGCACATCTTTTCCAACCAGAGGTTGAAGGACCTTATAGACTATCCCAGTGCGGGTCCTAGGAATGTCTCCCCATAGCAACTGCACTTCTCCCCTTGGATTCCCAGCCTTGCGCGTCGAATCGCCTTCGACCTTCTCTGCCTTCTCACCTGGCCGGCCCGCGCGGTGTGACAAAGGATCGATCTTAAAACATGTCCTTCATGCTCTCAAACTATACATCCAAAGCCCTCAAGGTGATTCAGGTCTCAGGACAGATTCAGTTGTTTCCGTCCAAAAATGATCAAACATGTCCAAAGATGTCCACTTCATTCAGAATCGGTCATTCTTGCCATGAATGGATGTCCGTGATCACTTCCGGATGATCACTTCATTCACTTCACGGAACCGGACTGATCACTCGCGTCGGCCTCGCGGCCGTCCATCGCGCCGGCTCGCACGGCTGCTCGGGTTGCCGCCCTCGCGCGTCCCGGTCTGGCGCCTCGGGGTCGATGGGAACAACGCTCGGTGCTCCGGTCGGCGTTTGGGACCCCCAAAACCACTGAAGGAGGAGGCCAAACGCGGTCGGTGGTGGCCTATACCAGCACCACCCAGTTTGGGTGGTTTATAGACGCCCCTGAAGATGTATTGTCCATCTTAATAACCACCCTTTGGGTGGTGGCCGTCTCGTGGTCTCCAATTCGTGGCCAAAAGACACACCCGAGGCGGTGCGCGTGAAGAACTAGGACTCTGCGTGAAGACTGTATACAAAGCTGAGCTGGGTTCCACGACACATCCTGTGGATTCAACACGTTCGGACCCCAATTTGCCCCATGTCCCCCTCAGCACCTTCGAACCTTCCCAACAGGTCTCACAGCATCAAAAAGCAGAGTCCCCATCAAAGGACTCCCCCACGACCCGTTGCACCAAAGGAGAAGCAACACCTTTAGCAGCTAGGCATCCAAGGCCCCAGCTGTACATTCTGAGGTGATGGGGTTCAGATCCATATTGGATCTATAGGCCTATATGGGTTCGTATTTTTTTAAGGTTCCCGGGCCGGGATGTTTGCCTATGGGGTATGCTTCGGGGGTATGCTTCGGGGGTATGCCTCGGGGGTATGCTTCGGGGTATGCTTCGGAGGGTTTGAACACTATAGTACTATATACTTTGCCAGCCACCACATGAACATACATGACCCAAACACAAGCCAGCAAAGCGCTGACCAGAAAACTTGCCAGGGACAGAGTCTACAAGCAGCAGAGCTTATATGCACTCTTGAGCACGATGCAATGATTTCCAGCAAGTGCGTTAGCCCTTAACAGCTACTGCAATATACCTTGGACACACACACACACACACCCTCATCGCCAGCAACAACCAAAGGTAAGTAAAGGTTTCACCATGGCCGGTAGGGAGGGCAAGGGGTGTTTTGGTTCCAAACCCCGTCCTGTTCCAGCCACAGCACTCAACTCCCTTTTCATTCTGTGGAGCTAGAGCTGTCAGTCTCATCTGAGCTGGTCGAATCCTCTTTGAGGTTGACAGCAAACACCCTCTTTTGCCTTAGGTATTTGCTTCTGGCGTGGGCTGCTCTTTTTTCTCGCTTCCTCAATTCCACCAAGCGGGAGTCTCTCCGACTTACAGGGCCAATGTCCGCAAACGTTCTCTGCTTGTGCAAGCGTCGCTGGAGCAAGGCGACATTCAAGGGATTTTTTTCTGGCTGCTGTGCACGGAAAGACCTCCGCCACTCATCGGTGCATTTCTGTATGGTGCACTCTGCTCTTCCCACAGTGACCCCAGCTTTACCGGCGCTCTCCCTGTCTGAGAATACATAATTGACAACTCTGACATGCCCTGCTCTGGCCCTCTCTAACAGGAGGCAGTATGTATACTCAATCTGCAATTCGAGGCCAGCGGTGTCAAATTTCTTGCAAAATGTCTTGGACTCGGGCTGAAAAACAAAGCTGCAGCAAAGCCTTGGCTTCGCCCTCATTCTGCCTGCTAGCCACACGACGACTTTGTGTCTTCACAGACACCACCCATGTGCTTTGCGGGCCGGTACTAGTGAGCCGCGTTTCCTCCCAAAGGAAAGCCATTTTGAACCAGCAGCTATCACGCTGATGAAAGTAGTTCCAGCACAAAAGTCAACAAAATTCTTCCCGCGGTCTCAAATTAGACGGCAGAGGGTGGTCTGCATGGAATATTCCCACAGTGATCTTGGCCATCTGCTCTAAAACTGTTACACTCTGCTGGTGGAACATCTCACCAAGTGCATGCCCACTGCTCTACTTCCCTTCTTGATCAATGCCCGATAAAGCACCAATTTTGGAGGGTATGCTTCGGGGTATGCTTCGGGGGTATGCTTCGGGGGTATGCTTCGGGGTATGCTTCGCCTAAGTCGAACATCCCCGCGCTACCCAAACTGGACCCCTTAAAAAAATACAAACCCATATGCATGCAGAGTTTGACCCCAAAAGCCCACCCTCTATATCCGGCCCCACGGCTTGGGGCGATATATGAATGGCCTGTTGTCAATCATGTGGTCCATCAAACATATACCTTGTGGATCCTTGTGGGATCTTGTGGGTCAGGTACACGTTCTCTTCTGGCATCACCCCCACTGGCCATTGGGGCCACCTTGGCTGTCCTTCCTTCTTCTCAGGGTCCTTTTCTTCCTGGCTGCTGAGCAAAAATGCCAAATTCTGCTGCTGGCACGTCATTTTTCTGATGCAATTACTGCGTACGGCATACCTGCCTGTTTCAAGCGGCTTTTTTGATTCTACTTGCGCACAAGTGTTGCATCATAAATTGGACAGTCTTTTGACCAAAGCAGGGAGCTGGAGACGGGCGCAATGCCGTCGTCCGGCTTGTTTTCGCGCTGCCTGAAATTCTTACGGCGCCTCGCATGGCATTGAAGCGGCCTTGGAAGACTAAGACCACTTGGCACCCCCCTTAGTTCCACACGGCTGATTCACACTCTTGATTGATGAATCAAACCCATCAAACCCTCCCTGAAATTGGAATCGAGACCTAATCGACTCTTCATACCTGAATCTTCCAACTGCGAACAACAATGCTGCAGTTTCATCTCATTTTGCATGTTCATGCTGAAAAGAAATTAAACACTCAAGCTAGACATAGCTAGACTGTAAAAGGATCTAAAAGGAATATATGGTCGCACACTTGGACGATCCAGGTCTCTGCCCCGATTCTTGTACGAAAGCTGGGACACGCTGACACTCCAAACCTGGCATGTCGTCCAATTGACCCCCACCAATTGCAGGCCCACATGCCATTCTCTCCCTGAACATCCACTTCAAAGTTCTGCATTGGTGCCGGACCAATCCCCCTCTGCCACGTCCCCCACGGCCAGCCCCACGGACCCGCGGATCCACGCGGATCCACCGGCTCCTTGCGGTGGCGGTTCCGATTCCGGTCGTTGCGGCGCCCGTCGCGGGGGCGTTCCACGTCCTTGGACCTGCCGGGGACGTCGCGGAGGACGAAGCCGCAGCCGGAAGGCGGCGGTCCGGACCCGAGGGAGTCGGGCGGGTCACTTCCGGTGCTTCTTTTTTCTCCGTGAGTACTTCCAGAAATGGTGCTTTTTTAAATCCAAGAGCACTTCCGGCTTGAACGTTTGGAGAGTGGACCAAAATCCACCGTCGGGTTCGTCGGGTTTTGGGAGCCCAGATTGGGTGAACCTCTAAGCCGACTCAGAGTCTGCAAATGACTCTCCTGACGGAACGCACATGGCTTCGTGGAGTGTGTAGAGTTTCGTGGAGTCTTTTAAACCGGCCATGTTCCAGTTCTGTGTTAGTTCCAGGGAGCGCAATCCAAACTCCTATAGCAGGTTTGAATGGTGCTGTTTCTAAGCATGGACTTTCTGACAAAGCTCGGACGGCCTAAGTAAAAGAAGAACACCGCCTGAGCTTCCTTCAGGCACATGCGTTGATTCGAACCATAGAAAGCAAGGGGGTGGCGGAGACCGCTCGGTCTTGTGAATCTGGGCATAGTCAAAAACGAATCATGCCTGGCTGGCTGCAACAACGAATGCTCTACATGTGTGCAACTTCTTTGTGGAACAAATGGCAAGAAGATGAGCCGCATGGAGACCGTAGGTAGGTCGTTTTTGGTCGTGGAAGGAACTTGGAGGGGTACCGACATGCGGGTGGCTGAGGTTCTTGCATTGGGTGTCTTGGGCTTTGGATGGCGGCCATCACGGAGTACATGGTCAGAAGGTGTGAAAATCGTGGATTCTGTTACCACTACTATAGCTGGCAACAAGGGGTTCCAAAGACTACAGCCATAGAAATAGAAACCCTGGTTCCAGTCCTGGTTCCTTGTGGTGGTAACTGGGGCCCACTGGGAGTGGCAACCCCAAGGACAGAACCGAATACTCAACTTACTTCCACCAACCAGCCTTGAGGTGTGCTGGGTGTTCCAGGGTGAGGTGTTGAACTTCGCAACTCTCGAGGTTCTAAGAGACACAGATCGTCCGACACAGGACACCCGGGTCTCTCATCCTGTCTCCCATGGGAACGAAACTGGCACCTGAGAAAGCGACCATCCAATCCCAGACCATCCGGAGGGACTGGAAGCTTCACCGATGCACGTTTCTGGACCAACATGATCCGTATACTAAAACATCTTGAATCTTAATGGGACATGTTCCATACATGGAGTTTCTGGGAAATGCCCACCCACCCACCAGAAAGCCTCTATCAAATTGGGGTGAGGTGATGTGCCAGACCAAACCATCTACATATTCCCTTCATCCACCCTGCAGCTTACGCTGCCAGCTCTCTGTTGAAAGAGGCAAGTGGAAACGGTTGTCTCCGAATCGCTCCCTCCGGAGCACTGGCGAATGTAGACTTTTGATCACATTTTCAGCCCCCCAGGTGAAGAGGTTGTTCAATCCACATGTTACATGTTGTAACCTTCTTCATCAAGAGTCTACAATCATCAGTACAAGGGTGTGTATCAAAATTAGGGATACCTCCCATGCAACAACCAGAAGGAACATAGACAAGTCTACCCAGGCGGCGAGAAAGGGGATCCAAACCCGTTTGGCCTCCAGTCGTACCGTATCGTGTCATTTCAGTGGGACGACGGGGGCCCGGGTGGGTGGGTTTGGAAGGTCCAGTCATACGGAACCTGAGGAGGTACGACTGGGGTGGTGGAGGGTCAGTGCTCCAAGGAGTCGGCTCTCCGCAATCCGTGACGCCATGCCGCCTGCTCGTGGGTGTGGCGGTGCTGCCGGGTGCCGCACCCGGTGTGGACGGCGTCTTCGACGGCTTCTTGCTCTTGGTCACCTCCAGGCGCAAAAGTGCAAAAACATATCATATCAACATGGATAACATGGATATATATATATATATAAAAACTCACCTGGCACCCAGAAAAAAAATAGTATAGTGTTTCATAGGACAAGGATGGGGAAACACACATTTTGCGCGTATGGTTTTGTAGTTTTACAATATAAGAGAGTCTTGAGTTCTTTTGCTAGGACATGTGTTTTGCTTGGCTTTGAATGTGAAACTTGCCGCTTCCCTTGGGTGTTTGTTTGTTTACTGTTCCTACCACCTTGACAGAAGGGGATCACTAAGCGAATCTGCTCATAGGGAAAACACACGTCACCCCAAGCAAAACAAACATGGAACAAGTATTAATGTAAGCCATAATAAGCCCTCGGCACCAAATCGTGCTCCAACTGTTTCACAAATCCTGGGACAACTTCAAAAAAGAGGGAACCACATCTGATTTGCAATCCGTCATGACACCCCACGCTTCGCACCGCGAAGAAGCCGCGCCCTCGCCACTCTCCGCGACCTCTTGCCACTCATCCGTCTCAGGGCTTTCGCTGCCACTCTCCTCCGCTGGCCTGGGCCGGACCCAAGAAAAAGGCCATGCAAATGCCTCAACATCCCCGAGAAGGCCCACCCATTAGCTTGGGCACCCACCGGTCCGCGTCACATGCCACAGGCTTGCCTATGAAAAGCCTTACACCGATCCTTGTGTGACGATTTCAACAAAGGTTCAGAACCCTGTGAAGGACACAAATGCTCCTGCCAGCTTCAATGCTGTGGAAGCAAAACTGGATGTGTTTTACGAGTTGTCGACTGGTGGTAGCTTGTGCTAGCTTGTGCTCAGTGCTCAGAGCTCTAAAACCACGGGAAGGCTTTTTTGGACACCATCTTCATGACTCCTTGCCAATACTATCAACATTCGACACTGTCAAACATATAGACTGTGCTTGTCACAGTCATGATGTGAAACCTGGGGGTCTGATGCTCAATCTCCAAGCACCAAACATACCCAGACTCACGTTCATGGACCCGGAGGATTCTGGCAGTCTGGCACATCCCTACTTTTTGACGGACCAAGGGCTGTTTGGAGCATCTGGGTATATAATTGTATACACTCCTCGAAATTGTCATGGAAGCAGAAAATCCACTGTTTGTAGAGCAAAAACCTCATCCAAGGGGTCATTTTCCGCTTCCATGATTATTGCAAGGAGTGCAGATATCGAACCACTTAATTAAAACATATTGAAATGCAGAACCTCTGGAAATTATCCAAGTCATGTCCCCTACAGTACTTGTACCACTGCGTTTTGGACTCCACCTCCTTCCATCATCCCTCCCTGGGAACTTTGTGAGACCCAGTCTTCCCCTTTTTTTCACCCCCAACCCTCCAGCACTCCTTCCCTTGTCTCACCCCTTGTCTCCCTTCATGCATCGAGGTGCTCGGCGCCCACTTGCGTGTCAGGGATCTGAAAGTTCTCATCTTCCTCATCCGACTCCACATCAGCCCAGCCTCATCTGCGCCAGCGCGTGACGCGTGCCGTCGCTTTCTCCAGCGCGTTCGAAGCAAACCCGCCAACAAGCATGTCTAGTGAATCCATGACCCCAAACAGCTTGGGGCCTCACCGTGGGGCGTCTCTGACGAGTTTTTTCGGCTGTCAACATGTGTCAACTAAACATACTAAACCACCTCCCCCCTGAGCACAGCCCAAAGGAATTGCCTTTTTTGATTTTGATTCCGGTGACATGTTCTCATTCACACCGTCGCCCAAAACACCACGCAAGCTTCTCACATGCCGCCCCACCCTTTCAAAAGAAAACACACATAATCATGCAGAAGATCGCCAGCAGAATCGAAAACCCAAACAACCACAGTTACGATGCCATAAAACGCCTGAACAACACTCGTCGACTCCCAGGCCAGGCACCGGTCAGGCCCGGCTGGGCCGGTGGTGACGGTCCCAGCCCACCTGCCCCGCGCGACCCGGTTCGACCGGGACCAGCGGCGCTTGGAGACTTGTCGAGAGCGAAGCTCAACCTCTTCACTTTCATGTTGGCTCCCTTCCTGGCCGTGCCCATGCACCCGGCAGAAGGAAGGAGTTGGACATGACAACACCTACCGCAACCACTGGAGTTCTAGACCAGTTGGAGTGCAATACGAGTGGAATGGGGCCACTCTTGCAGGCTAAGTGGGGCCAAAGAAGCAGCTTGCACATGTTTGGACTGGCTGCTTGCGCTGCTTGTAATTCCCACTTCACCTTGAGTGTGGACCCGCAAAAAAGCATGCCTGGCAATATTCGGAATCATGTGTTTCTTTCATTAGACTGATGGATCGGATTTCAGTCTACTTACCTACTGAAACCCTACTGAAACCTGGGTTTCAAGCGAGACATGGAAGCTTCAGACGCTCAGGAACAAGCGAGGTGTCCGAACCTCTCCAGCCGACCCCCGAGACGCAAGACATCATCCCCAACCATCCACCAGCTGTTTTTGTTGTCTACATTTGGGGGGGTTGTAGCTCCAGTAGGCTTCCTGGCTTCCGGATATGTATCGGAAATAGTTGGATGTGAGTGGACTTCCAACTTGCTGGAGCCAATCCCAGACACGACCCATGGGACTGGCATATTTGCCGCCCCATTGACCTCTGAAACCACCCCAATGTAGGCAAATATGCCATACATGGAGTGTCTGTGAATAGCGCCACATGACCCCAAAACTCCAAGGCTGGCATCAAACGCTGCTTGCAGAACTTGAGGCGGATGGGGTCAACCAAAGGTAGATGGGCAAGGGCGGGGGGGGGTTGGCGGACAAAAGCGGTAGTTGTATGGATCATCCACGCGCACCACCAGAAGCAAAGAAGCAGCACCATGGCACTAGCAAAGCAGCACACCAATGGACCAGCAACAAACCAGCGGGAGCAGTGGCAGAAGCAACAGCAGCATGAGGAGTAACCAGCAGCAAACCAGCAAACGAGAAGCAGCAAACCTTCAGCTCAAGCAAAAACATGGGGAGCAACATAAGAAGTCAATCATCGGATGAACATGAGGGTGAACACACATGTTCCAAAGATCGTTGAGGACGAGGATGAGAAAAATCATGCCCAGGAAGAGTATGAGAAGGTGAACCCATAAGGATCCACATACCTTCGAAACGAAGGTACGACTGGACCTGTTTCCGGCATGTGGATCCATTGGGAACCCATTCTCACCTCAACATAGAAAACATGTGCGCCAGTGTTTCCATGATCCTGGATCCTTGGTTTTTGAATGGAACTTGCATGGAACATGGTGTCTATTAACATCTATAAATTAACCAGCTGCTTCCTGCGTGGTGCGGGTGGGATCCCACTGGAGTCGTTGGGTCGCCCACCTTGTCATCCTGACACTCGCCAGAGGCAGCTGATGTGGAGCATTCCACACTGACCTGGCGGTCTTTCGAGCATTCCGTCTGTTCACTGTCCCATGGGCGGATGCGATTCATTCCAGGGCGTGGCATCTTCTTTTGGAGTGCTGCACCAGCAAGGAGACATCTACAGCGAACTAGTGAACGACCCAGGTTGAGGGAGTGGCGAAAGGATGCCACCTGATGTGTTGTGTGCAAATCTGTCAGGGTATAGAGCCACATGGAAAACACACGCGCGCACACACGCCAAGGGTGTTGATCGATGTTGATTGGTAAACAGTTGTGAAGTCCACTGGCCTACGAACATAGAAATGAGAACTAGCACCCAGCAAAAGGGAGCCTTGGGGCCCACTGAAACTGTGAATTTGCAATCTGGCAACCTGCCTTCAAACACAAGAGGGGCATCAAGAATCTGTTTATATCTTTTGTCCTGACCTCAGGTATTGCCAAATGATCTGATCAGTTTCCAAGCCAAGAATTCATCTCATCATATCTTACCATCCGTGGAGCCCATAGACCCGCAGAAAAGCTTCCACGAAAGGTTCCACATTATGTCCCACGAAATGTTCCAATGGTCCTACGAACCGCAGTGTAAAAGAAAGTACGCCAGTTTCACCGGCCGGATCCACATGGACATCACCAAAACTCAAAGAACACGACACATGCACAAAGCCCCAGGACCTGTCACAGAGCCCCACGACCCACCGAGATCGGGCCCATGGAGGCCATATATCGGTGTTACTTGCGATGGAAGTCAAGACGCCAGCACCACCGCGGAGAGATCTTATACAGGACTGATAGATGATTCCAAGTGGTTCAGGAGCTGGAGGTTTGGAGGTCTAACTTAGCAGCTAGCAACTCACCTCAACTCACCCGCTCCCGAAGTCTAGGACTTCTGTGGTCGCTCTACCCTGGCTCCGGTCGCACACGTCCCGCCCGGGCGGATCCGAGACCTTCGCACGCTCCGCTCGGTCCAACCGAAGCGTCCTCCGACTCGGATTCCACGCCTCCTCCTCTTTCTTCGTCTCCGATCCTACGCGGTGCGCCACACGCAAACCCGACCGGTGGATCGGTGCTTTTCTCAGGAGGGGCCTCCGCCTCGGCGGCTCGACCAGGAGTCCGGATCTCTTAGTTCAAGGGAAGTGCCCAAAACGCTGGGTTCGAATCCCTACGAGTCACCCATAGCACAGTTCAGGTAGCACGTCATGACATACCCCAAACAATCCATGGGACTCCCAATAATATATGCCGCCCCATTGACCCCCCAAACCACCCCAATTGATCGGCAAATGTGGCATACATGGAGTGTCTGGGTACTATGACTATAGCAGTTACAGGCACCTGATCAAGTCAGACAAGAGTCCTGAGGGGTGCGCATGTCAAAACATGTCAAAACCCCATGCAAAGGCCGCTTGCAGAATCGGAATTCCCGTTGGCCAGTGAATCCAGACATGTCCCGCGGCATGCTGCGGGGCGGCATGCTGCGTTCTGGGAGACTCCCAAGGGCAGGGTGTGCCTTCAGGATGTGTGTTCGCATTGCTGTTGGGTTACAGAAGAACGAAAGAGCAGGAGATACTTCCTCCGTATCTCACTTCTGACTCTCACTTTGCCTATGACTCAGACTAGGCTGTTGATTCAAACCCACATACCAGACTCCCAGAAAGGATCTACATCTTCAGTATATGGAAAGGTTTTGTTCATCAACTGTCTACATTCAAGTTCCCTTTTGCTGCGGAGCTTTGTTTGGAATGGAGAAATCGGAGCTTCGAACATGATGAGAAATCGGTCAAGCCAAGTTTTGCGGCAAAGAACTTCCAGATTCGTAGCCAAAGACGAACCTCGGGTCCTCCTTCCTCAGTTCTACCCCACCACCCGACCACCCCGCCACCGGGTCCTTGTGTTGTCTTGGGCATGACCTCAATGAGGATCAAAGGAGCCAGGAGAGCCAGGAATCGAAATGAAAAACCATGAAAAAACATATGAACTTTAGGAGGCCCCCTATGCTTCTATAGGCTGTGCCTGGAATAGTCCTTCGCTAATGACACGCTTCCGGAAGCAGGTCTGGGATGAACAAGGGCGCAAGCATATAGAAGTTGCAAATCAAATGTACTAGCACTCTACATGGTATGTTCATGTATTTTCCAAGTGGCCCTGGCTCGATCTTCTAGAGAATGGCTAGGCCACATACTACATTAAATTCATGTGATGCACACGCCCTGAAGGTATCTGTTGAAGGCAGAAACGGCAAACTGCACCAGCCCTGAGACAAAACAATTTCTTGAGAACCTGCCACCAAACGTCCAGCTCTTTATGTAGAGACAAATGTCCAAAAAGCACGTTTGGGCACTCAGCACGCTCGATGCGTCGTGGCTTTCGGAGAAACGCAGGTCTTCCAAGTCTTCCCTTCCAGCTTGCTGATGTATACCTACATTAGATCATTGACCCTTGAAACATGAAAATAAATATTCCATAAATTCAATGCAAACGACCGGGTCACCAAAAAAGCCGCCGCGGTGCCGGCAAAAAGCAAACCAAGCACAGCTGGTGCGAAGGCAGGCCGCCCGACGCATCCAAAAAACGTTGGAAAGATCGACGCAGGTGCCCAAATCAAGGCGCAGTCCCAATCCCATTGAGGTGGGACCCTGGCTGCTGTAACCCAGCTGATGAACAATGGAACATGACGATTCGTGATGTGAGCTCTATGAGACCGACCGAGCTCCCGCATGAACGACCAATCCGTCTAGTCAAGTCAGATCCCTCCCACAAGACCGCCATGTTTCAACAAACCACGTGGTCTTCGAGTACCTATACAGTACCTATATAGGTACCCATACTGACAGTACTCGTCTACTGAAAGTGGCGCAGTTCCTGTACACATTTCACATGTCCTATTCCAAAGCAACCAGGCAAGGGCAAGGCTTCCAAAAATGACCGCAGCATACCCAATTCGCCCGACTCTAAACAAAGCCCAAGAGCTGCAAACGAGATCTTCAGGCGTTTTGGGCGTGTTTTTCTGCACAGGTAATCGGTTCCAGAGTGACTTATTGCCGTGATCCGTGAGTTTCAAGCTCAGTGCGTGATCAGTCTGCTCTTGCAAAGCTGTGACTTCCAAGCAACTCTCCAAATGGCTTCTGCACGCACACAACGCCATACATCAACCCAAACACTCCATGTGTGTCATCAAAGCCTACATTGGTGTGATTTGGGGGGGTCAATGGGGCAGCATATATATATATATATATGTGTGTGTGTTCCGAAAAAAGCATGGGGTATCATGGGGTCTCTGAGTAAGGGAACCCATGGAAAACCTTAAAGAGTGTTCAAGAAGAGCCTGTGACCCCCCAAAAGGTGCCATTTCTCAAACATGGCACCAACTCACATAACATGCTCACATGGCCTGTGGGTCATGGCGCCCGGGCTACCTGGGCTACTCACCCTACTAGTAGGTCGAACCTCTTGGCTGTCCACCCGTGTGCAAGGAGTAGCTCTCGTCTATGGGACAGAACTTGGCTTCTAGAGTGGGACAAGCTTCACATCATGAAACGAATCTCAGAGACGCCCTGGAAGAGACCCACGTGGAACCTGAAAACCACAGGGTGTAGAGGAGAACCGTCTTCCAAAGGTCCGTTTACAGGTACGAAGTAGTGAAGCGTTTCTTTTTCTGCTGCAACTCTCCGTAAGGGTGAAAGCTCTCCCGCAAATTCCTAAGTCATAATCCTTTTCCAGGGCCCTTTGTCAAAACTTGTCAGTCCTTTTTCAGGGTCCAGTGTCCAATTGAACCAGGTTGAGCCATTTTACAGTAGAATTCCACACTTCCACTGGTGATTTTTCCCGGTTCCACCACCCACTCAGCCTGACTTTTCCTCTTGTACAACGCCGCGGCGAACGTTCGCCTTGACCGACCGAGGGCGTCCCTTTCAAGAAGGTCGACCAAAAAATGATGGACATTTCCCTGCAGCGTTTGGGGAGGCCATACGAGACGTTTTCTGATACTCCATGGTAAGGATACACTCAATTGAGACACTCCATAAATATCCATAAATACAAACATTCAAACCACTCAACTGTTGTCTTCGGCAGGATTCTGTCCATCAACAGCATCTGGGGCAAATTCTGTGTGTTTTGAGGATTCCTGGCTTCGACTTTGCTTCACACAAGCATGCTTAACCTTGGCCCATGATTACAGGGCAAGCCTCAAACCTTCCCCTTTGGTCCTCCACGAGCTCTTTCCGAGCCCAAGTTTCAACAGAAGCGTGTTGTTCCCTCCGGTTGGTTTCCAGTGCCTCCAGTAAAAAGCACCTCTGCTTTGTCGGTACGACCGCGGCCCTTGTCTTATTGGGTGAAGTGCATCACTTCGACCGGGAGATGGGAGATCGTGCACTTTCGCTGAAAACGCAGAACCAACATGTACTTCAACCCGTCGAAACCAAGGAAAACAGCCCAGATCCAAACACATCTGAACTCGTCGCGAACATTTGGGGGCGGCGCGTCGGGCGAGTAGATCTGATTCGAGAAACGCTGTATGTTCGTCCAGCGTGGTCAAAAAGACTTTCCATGTGCCGCCGCCCCCGTGTCATAGCCGACCTCTGCTTCGCAGAGACGCCAACATCATGATGAGAGCCATGTCCAGGGGCGATCTGCTCACCCAAAGGGTCCCAAGGAACAATGTGGATCCAAAGGATCTGTTAAAGGTTCTTGATCCGATCTTCTTCGACCTTTCCCATATCATTCAACACTGTGGAGTTAAATCCACGCGTCCGGAGAGACACGTCCGGCGAAGCAGCCTGTGGTGGCTTCTTGCTTCTTGCACCCTTTCTTCTCAGGGGTGAGACCAAATCACCAGTTCCACCAGTTCCACCGAAAAACTCGGAGTTTGGATGAGCTTGGATGGGCGAAGAACCCTGGATGGTCTCGTATCTCTTTCAGGATGCCGGCACCGGCACGGAGTATTGATATACTAGGAACAAAGGGCATTGCTACGAACGGACGCGATCGGACGCGAACCGAACGTAGCTCCTGGCCTTTCTACTAGGAACAAGGAGCTACTACGAGCAAAGGGCATCGCTACTATAGTAACAAGGGCACTACTACTAGGAGTATATGGAGGTTTGCTGTTTCCCCCACGTCCACCAGCCCTTCCCCCACGGTCATGGCTCGTTTTGGATCACTGCCCGAGCGAATTTCGGCGTGGCTCTGGGATCGAAGGGTAGGGAGGCGGTGCAGGATCACTGCCCGAGAATAGGACGTGGACATGTTAAGAACCCTGTGGACCCTCTCTGTTGTATAGAGCAAAATGGTCTTTCCTGCACCCGAGGCTCCCCATTCTGTACCAGAAATTCCTACCGGAATTCTGTTGTATATAGCTTCCCTTTTAGAGGTACAGATTTCACAACCGGATAAACATGCATGTGCACGTGGTCTAATTCTTCACGATTCAGAAATTCACCACCTGACTTACTTGAGTTCTTCTTAGGCCCTGCCACCAGACTCACTGGGCAGCACCGTCAATCACGCTTTCATCGTGACCATTTAGGGCCTAAACGGGCTGCGCTCTCCTAGCGTCCTTCGGTCAAAACAGGGATGACTGGCCAGCGAAATCCCTCCAAAGACTCGACCGTCAACTAATCAAACCATCAAATGCATTCAAATGCCATCCATGTTCCCCCAAATGGCCGCCTCGTCGATGGTGTTCTTACGATCAATTCCGATCAGCCGCGGCTTTGGGGAGTGGGAACGGGAAAGATCTTCCCCTTTGGGGATTCACCGGGGTTCACCCTCCACCAAAGAACCATCACCCAATGATCCAAGCCATCTGCTTCACACTTGGAACCCTCACGAACGAAAAAATGCGAGTGAGTGTGGTCAACCATCCCACGCAGAGGTTGAACACTGTTGAACAACTTGTTGAACAAGATCTGAAACCACCACCCAGACAGCATCGTGTCTTCAGGGTGTGCTTAGACCGAGATTTGAGAATGTGGAGTTGTGGAATGGGAAAGGGCAAGCTGCAAGCCCACTTACACCCTGGAAGAGACCCACATGGAACCTGAAAACCACAGGGTTGTAAAGGAAAATAGTCTTCGGAAGGTCCATTTTCAGGTTCCATGTTCAATTCTTCCCGGGCGCTGGTCTTTGTTGTGTTGCTGAGCGGTGTTTGGATGATGAAAATCATGAAAGTGCGCTCTGGTGGGCGGGTTAACTTTGACGAAGTGCACCAAACGAGATACCAGTGTCCTGCTGCAATCCCGCTCACCTACCCACCTAAAGACATCACTCATCTGCTACATACGGCATACGTTTGAACCACGCCGGGCTTGGTGCCTCAAACAATCATTGAAAGTGAGCTTCCCGGGAACTCTCAGCCAAGTCCGCGATACAAATGAGGTGGAGTCACTTTGGGTAGATCTGCCCTGAGTCCGAGGACTGGTCGAAAGAACATCTACGACAAACCATTACTATGGGTCCCGTAGATTTTCCCAGAAACAACTTCAAACCAATTCTGGAACAAAAAGGAAAGGTTTTGTCTGTAGAGCTACCTGAACCAACCCCAATGCAAGATCTTCACTGAAATCCCATCTGAGCCCACCCCAAATGCTTCTCAACTGTCCATGCAACCAATCTCTCCCGTTGTCACCGCCTGTGAAACCGAACCTTCCTACCATGAGGAGTTGCCGGGTGCGTCCGATCCTTCCCAGGAAGAAAGCAGCAAGTAAAAGTCATGCAGTTGCACACACCTCCTCCGCTCGCAAGTGCAGTTAACTGAACACTTTGGAGGAATGCTGATGGAATACACGAACTCATGCACCAAACTGGGTGCAGTCCACTGTTCTCTTGATTTTAACAGGATTTTCAGCAGTAGAATTTGATTCCAACCCGCAGGCTATCCATGGGAAGGTATACTGAGGTAAAGTGTGCAATGCCGGCAAATCTATATAATGCACAATTGGAAGCGCAAACTCACCAGCTACACACTAAGGCTTCCCCACCAACAAACCACTTCTGTTTGAATGCCCTTCTACTTGCCACGGCTCATTGGCTAGCTGGGACCTGTTCATGGCTGGTGCTTGCTTGCACTGTCCCTTGTCCCATCCGATGCGGAAAAACTTGTTCAATCTCATCCATGCTTATTGCTTACCAGACATCCATCCGATCCCTCATTGGCCTTCTGGGCCTTCTGGAGCATCAGATACGCAGACGTTCACATTCAGACACAAAGTTCAAGTAGCATGTCTTACCGGTGTGTGGGCGCTACCACAGGGTTGGTGATATCGGTGCTGAGTCGGAACCGGGCAACAAAATGCCTCTTCCCCGGGGTATATTCACCCCACGGAAAACCCCAATTCACCCCAAACTCTGCGGCTTCCAGGTCTAGCACTTTGATCCACATGGCCGGGTGTTTCTCATCGGCACCTGCGGCCTGCACTTCCACCCACACGCGTTCGCCAACGCGCACCGCGTTCGCTCAGCGCACGATGGGCGGCCTCGCGCGGCACGCAGCCATGCACGATGCGCGTCAACACACAGATCGAAGCAAACAAAACAGCTCTGAAGATTGTAACAGCACAAAGAGACAGTCTACAAGACCAGGACCTTGTTCAGAATGAACCAGGTCTCTGTCTGGAAGCTGCTTGTTGGATCTTCTTCCTTCACAGCATTTTGGGGGATTTCTTCCGTGTCAGATCCGGTGGGCAGGCGATGGCGGCGATGGGAGGGAGGTAGGGCGCCCCACTCCCTGGAACAATCATGCGAATCATGGGCCGTAGATGGACAGCAGCCCTGAAGACTCGGAGGACGAAATCCACATACCACACTGGTGGTCACTCCACTTGAGTGGACCGTGTAGGGGCCCGGAAGCAGAATGCCACCGGATTTGTGTTGCTTTCTTCAGTCCCAATCCGAAGACGTGGAGGGTCCGCGTGTGACCAGGGTATTCTCGCTGCTGAGGCGTAAGGCCTCACCATTAGCCGTACCCACGGAGGACTACCACCCCCAAAACCACCTGGGCTGTAATGCGGACATGGGATTCACCAACCCCCCTATTAATCAAGCCCAGCTGAAGCCTTGTTGACCTTGTTGACCTTGTAGGGGGGGTTGATTAATCCGAATTCTCAGGGTCCATTGGGATCGTCTGACCTGGTGTGTAAAGTGACTATCCCTAGGGCTCCAGTCGTACGTACCTTCCAAGAAGGTGTTTGGGGTGGGTTTAGAGGGTCCAAACACCTTCTGAGGAGGTACCTGGAGCCCTAGGGTATATGATGACGCATGCCATGTGGCTGACTGTGGCTGACTGTATGCGACAGTGACAGTAAATGACTATGCTGACTAGATCTGACCATACATGGATGGTCTGGGACAGATCCATCTGCAAACATGGCCTCCAAAGACACAGGTGCCACAACTGTGTTGCTGCAAGTCGCCCAGTTTGGACGGGCTTGGTGCATGTTGGTGCTTCCGCATCTGGATGACCACATCACCCCGTTCCATCACACCAACTCGACCCCTTCGGACTTCGGACAACACCGTGTCGTGGCTTCGGTCGCTGCAACGACGTCCTGTACCCCGGTCGCGTGCAGATGCCTGGATCGGCCCAGATTCACGAAGGAAGGGGTCGAGACCAGCTGGGGCAAAGAGCTGGTCCTGGCGAAGAAGTTCGCATGGAACGACAGCAAAGGAGGGGGGGCGGGCAACTGGCGCAAAGCTACCCATCGGAGGGTTGGCGGCAACTTGATTTACGCAACCAAGCAGCTTGTGCCGTAGATTCGGCAGCTGGATTTGGGTGATGGTAGTTGGGAGACTTGCGAAGCAAATGTCTGTCAATCTGTTTGACCCTTCGGCCCCTGCAAAATGACACGAATTGAGCCAAGAGTCTTGACGGGCTGTAGGTTTTTCCAAAACAAATCCTAAAATGACATAGAACCTGAATTCATGAAACCACAGCTGGTGTTGCAGCATGGTAAGGGAGAGTGGGACGACTATCATCCAGTCGTTTTGTTTGCAGGTTCTATGCAAGCGTCTCGTGGTGTTTAACGGGACTGGATCCTTTGTTCTCAGGGTCCCAGTCTTCGGAGGATCAACTAGGAGGTTTGGAGATCCAACATCTTAAAAAGGGGTCCACCGGCCTCAGTTTTTAGATGAAAGATCTCGCAAAAACCTCCAAGATCCACCAAACTGTTGAACGTCGAAGCAGTGTTCTGCTTCAAAACCGCCGGGTCTGCCAAATTGGCTCATGGAACCTGATTAAAAACCCAGGGAAAATCCTCGTATAGGCATGGGTCAAATCCTGGAGCCCTGGTCCATCATGATTTCATGTAGCGAAAGACCTTCCAGGTAGTCGAACTCGCAAGTATCGCCGGTAGGTCAACTAAGGTCTCCTGGTTTTGGCCCACAGCCATCTCCTCGTCCACAATAAGGCTGAAACTGAATATGATGCGTTCTTTCCGGATGGGACATCACCAATCATTGAGGACCTCTACCAGGGCCCCGGTTCGGAGCTCATAGCACCGGGGCCATAAGGGGTGTCCAACCACCCAACTCCCGTGGGTCCGTATAGAAATGACAGCCACTTGATGCCGATCATTCCTCCCTTGGGTTGGGTGGCCAACAAGAACGACCAAGCAGCAATAAGAATGGTATCATCTAGCTAAAACAGCACACTCCTGGCCATGCACGTCACATGGTGACGTGGATGGCATGGCCAAAGGGCGGCCGCAACGGCGTGAAGGACAGACGTTCCACACCAAAGAAAATGACCGCTACGCCCGCATGAAAGAGGAGATGTCTAGACCTCTCCTTGTCTTCAACTGAGTTCAACTATTTGAACATCATATCAGGTCGTGCTGGGGGGAACTGTTGAACCTCAAGCATTTACTGCTCACTTGGGCACGGCGCCGCATGGCTCGCGCTGTTCGCCCAACGCGCGGCCTCTGGTTCCGAAGTTCGCCCGCACTCGAGGACTGGCGCAAGTGTCGGTCAGAGAAGGTCGTCGGGGGCCATGGGGTCCGAAGGATCACCCCGACCGCGGGTCACCACGGTCGACCACACAAACCACGTAGTCTGCAGCGTTCAAAGTTGAAAGGCTCCAATGTGCCAAAAGCCAGCATGTGACAACACGTATACATAGAATTTAGAATAGAACACGCAAAGACGAGTTTACGAAATGTTGAGACACTGTATTCCACCATTGCGCCAGAAAAATAAAGGGATGATCTTTGATTTCATGTCAGAAGTTCCTTGGAGAACCACCTCGCCTCTTGACCTTAGATTTGTGCTCGCTCGGAAGCTCATTCTAAAGCTAGGGCGGTGTCTGGCCTCCGGTGGCGGCACTCTCGGAGTGAACATGCCCACACCATCCATGGGACTGGAATCGCTACATGTCTTTCCAACACACATCTAACGTCACCTACAACGTCACATCATCATTGTGTGTTACCGATATTGACTTGAACAGGCCAAGAGCCTTTAATAGAAAATGGTGCCTGTAATATCTTCTGAAATGATACTTAATGATGACGACGACCGTGACCCATCCATGGTGATGTCACCCGAAACCACATACGGATTTGCTGCCGTGCCGGGAACCACGTGTTTTCCAGTCCACATGGGTTGCGCGAGTCAGTGTTTAGTGATTTTAGTTGTGGGCTCACAACTCATATAGCAACCCAAAAGAAGGGATCAGAGGGGTTTGGACAAAGTAGGGAATAGAGTTATTTGTTAAGCTGATGGTTCTCTCTTTGTTCATTTTTTATGCGGACAGTTCTTTCCTTTATGCTGGCGGTTCTTTTTTGCATTCTGGTCCGAAATATAAGAAACAGCCAGCCCAAAAAATAGTTGCCCGTAGGCTCACGTCAAGCAGTTGGGGCGATGAAGCCTTCCGCCAGAGTTCCTTCCTCGCTCATGGTTGAAACCGGGTTTAGGGAATGCCTCTGCCCATGAAGACAGAAACTGACACATCACCTGATCACACTAGACTTATCAAAATTAGCGGATCATCAACAACATCCGTGAAACAACTTTGCGTTCTCTTTAGTGAGGCTCACTCACAAACCCCCTCGTTTCAGACGGAACACCGAAAGAACACACTCGGTTTGCGGACGTGCTGCCGTGCGCCACGCGGCTTCGCCCAACCCATCCCGAAAAGACCTTGGGCATCCTCTCGGACAGCAGCTGCATGCGATAGGTGGGCTGCTTCCGCACATTCCCTGGGCCTGATCGCACGAACTCTTTGACGCGCACGTACGACTCCGCGTCGTGTGCATGATGCACGACGTCACGTCGTTTGGGTGACTGTCTGGGGGACCTAGCTTTTGGAGGACCAGGGGAGTGAAGTGCAACTTTTGGCCCAGGTGACGGGAATGAAGAGTCTGAAGCTGAAGAGTCTTGCCCTGGAAGCTGCGGATTTGCTGCCCAAGTGCCAAACTTGGATCCTCCAACAAACACGTGGTCGGGTCCCCAAACGCACCATTTTCCTCCATGAGGTTTTGGTCTCAAGCAATCGAATTACATCTAATTGCTAATGATCGTTCTTATATGTTCTTATCCAATTTGTCATCTGAAACGAGCGAAGGGCTGTTCTTTTCAGTCTGAAGCAGAGCCATTACACATTCGGGAGACGGCCCTTGCTAATGGTCCTAGGAGCCGCCCGAGAAAAAGGAAGCTGACAGCTGGGGATGTAGGCAAGTATACTATAATTACCTACCAAACATGTGAAAAAGGCATGATCCTTTCACCCCTACCAACATAAAAACCATCCGCAGTGTCCAGTCATCAGTGGTCCATGTTCTTTCACTGCCCTCTACTGACTGGTGCTTAGTAGGGAATGAGGGAATGAACCACCCCTGTAGGCCCCTCTGGATCCATTCCCCGATTCCCTACTAAGCACCAGTCAGTCTATTGATGTGAACATATGGGGTTCACAGGATTGGCGTCTCAAAATCGAAGCGACTGGACGCCGAGCGTGAGGCCGCCGAAGTCCTGGACGTCGGCACCCGCACCCAGGAGTCCTCTCGCTGTGGACCCCAATTGAGTCAAATTAAAAGTGGTCTCAAAGAGCATAGATTAATAGATGGCACAATCCCCAAAAGATGGTGTCTATGGATCCCAATGGGTGTCAAAGTATACCAAGACCATCCTGTCTGGTGTCCTGGCTGGACTACCCTACACCACTTAGGGATCTCCAGCCAGAGCACCCATTGGATGGTCCAGGTACGAGTCGACGTGTACCTGATTTCGGATCATACGCTCTAATCGATGTCGATTGAAGATGCTTCACATATCTTCACATTGCTATTCCACTAATTATAGGATCCATTGGGACAGCAAAGAGTACAACATCCCTCACCCAAAACCGCTGTCGGCCGCGCCACGGAACCGGCAGTCCCAGATGGATCCGCCCGCTTTCCCCCGCCGGCACCGCGCGTTCTCCAAGCCACGTGGGTCCTCCACGAAGCTAAACTTGTCCAGCCTCGAACGAGGTGAGCCGGAGGTGAACCGTGTGCAAAAGGCTCGTGCTGGTTTTATCTCCAAACATGTCCAACATTGCCAACACATCCTGGGAGAGGCTCTTTTGCGAGGGAAAGGGTGCCGGGTAACGCTGGAGAACCCTCATACTACATGTGAATCCTCTTCACTGGACTCTACTAAGGGAACAATGGGAAAAAAGGTATTGGCTGCGAAAATGCAACAAATCGACCTTGAAACTGTTGAAAGCAAAAGCCATGATCTCCAACCCCCCTGTTTTTTTTTCAGAATTTAAGGTTCTCATCAGTCGACCGATGAAAACCAATGTGACTCCTTTCTTGTGGCATGAAAATCCCCGGCTGTTCAAGGTACCTCTGTGGTCTGAGGTCTTCAGTCGAAGGATCGAGTCAGTCGACTACCCAGCTGGGCTTGGACTCGTGCGCACAGCGACCCATCTGCACCGATCGGGGGCGGCCGCTGAGGTCGGTGCAGGGAGGTGTTGTGGTGATAGGACGACGCCCTCCCTTCCCTTCCAGACCAAGGTCAGAAAAAAACACATCCCTGGAAGGGATTGAATCCAGGTGAAGGGATTCCCTCCCTTCCAGAATGATCAGAATGGTGAATTCTCTCCAATTCTGGAGCTTCTTCTTCATGAACCGAAACGGCCCCAGTCAACCGCAGAAACACCTGCCGCATCCCTCGGCGCTTTTCGTGGGCCATCGTGGCACGAAATCAACCCCTGACGAGGGACTCCCTTGGGAAGGAATTGGGCGACACAACCGAGTAAAAACAGTTGCTGCGGCCACATGTCTGTCTCTTCAAGCTACTTGTGAAGGACCAAAGGACTTTCTATATAGAAGCCTCGCCCAAATCGTCCTCCCCAAGGCCTAACTACATGCAAGCGGACTGGCGAAGGGAATCTTCTGAGAACCTCCTTTCTCTTGGTTCTTCCTTGCAGCAAGGCACATAGTACGGACGTCAACCAGCAAGCAGTAACAACCCAACCAAAGATGTCCAGCACACATAGATGATCCCCGTGTCAATTCAGGGTGAGGGGCCAGCACGCCATCACATGTAAAAAGGACTAAACTAGTGGTGAGCACCACCTATTGCCTATTGCACATAAAATGCAGGTACCCCACCACATGTGTGGAAATCTGCATATCATGTTTGTGTGTGCGACTGGTTCATAAGCCATCACAGAGCCACACAAAATTCACAAAGAAATCTCGAACAAACGGTTATAAAATCAAGGGCCCACCCCCAATCAGGGGGTCATGAAACGTTTTATAATTGACGTTGTCCCCAGTGATTTCATAGGAGATATTGACATGGAGATCATAGATGAATACCGGATCCATGTTCATCCTGCTCCGTGAATGTGTATTAACATAGATCTCGCAAATAGTATATAATAGCCTACCGTACACACGCCCTTCTGATCCCTTCTACCTGTCTTAGCCGAAAAAAACCTATCGTTTTGATCCCGGCGGTCCGGTCGCCCGTCCGGTCGCCACGCGTCCGTTGCGGGGTCGTTTCCTCCCTCGGTGCCGCCCGGCATCCCGTCCTCCGGGACAGGCACCGCACCAAACGAGAAAGACATCTATAGAGAGTGAGCTGAGAAACGGCCAGGGGTGGTTGACTGGGGGTCTGGCTGGGGCAGTCCTATGGCAGTCCCATGGAGTGTCTGGGTATCTGGAGTGCACGGTATTGATAGGTCTCGAACAGTTGTCAACCATCTGCAACGTCGGATCTGCGTTACGATCCGCGTTGCCTTCGTTTCACCATCTTTTTCCTGGTGCGTCGCCGTCTGGACATCCGTCCCACAGAAAAATGATGGAAGGTGACGCCTCATGGTTCTCCCGTTTCAGCATTCCTCCACCTCAGATCCCCATCACGCGGAACCCGCTGCAGATTCCTTACTGCTCACGGTGAGATCTGAACCCGCGCGCGGTCGTGGATCCAGAGGGTCAAGGCGTAACGATCGCCGTGGGACTCGAGCACCTCATGCCAAATCTCCTGAAATCGACGAGTGGCAAATCTGCTTACCCAAACACTCCATGGGACTGCCATGTATGCTTACATTGACCCCCAGTCAACCACCCCAATGTAGGCATGCTTCAGGTATATGGCATACATGGAGTGGAGTCGTGTCTGAGTTAGTTCCATGCAGCGGGATACAGATCGAGACGAGTCACCCTGGAGGATTCATAAATGAAAAAAGTCACACTCTGGTTCCGGCTGAGGTGTGCGGCATCTGCTCACTTCTTGGATTTTATACTATCTGAGCATGTTTCGAAGAGCTTTTACAATCCAATGTGGGAGTTGTTATATTCAACATCAAGTCTGCACGAGTCTTTGCAGTGGCATCTTTCGATTCTCACCATCCAAAACAGCGCCAATGTTGGAACGCCACGTTAACGACTGCCCAGAACCTGAGTTTCGGTTCTTCCCAGATACGACCGGTGCCGACACAATAAAAGAATAAAAGACAGGTCACTCCCGATTGGCCGGTTCGACTGCGAGTCAGGACTGCCAGTCCCATGAGGTCTCTGGACGTGTGAGGATCGTCTCGACCCGTTTGAGAACGATCGTGGGACGCCCCGAAAACAGAAAACCACTCGACGAGTGGTCATCTCATTCGGACTCACAGTCAGGTAAAAGGTGGTAGACAGTCACCTTGATGCTATGAAAAAAAAATATATATATATATTATATATATCAAATTACCACAGCATATACTATATTGTATACGGTATACCGGTATACGGTATACCTAATCAACCATATCATATCATCTGTTCTTATCCTTTTATTATCGCATCTTATCACATCTTATCACTATCACTATCGTTCTTCTCAACGTCATGCACGAAGCATCGGCTTCCCGCCCACCAAACTGCACCCCCCCCCACACCGCGCTCGTTGTTTGACACGTTCCATCCTCGGCCATGAAGACCACCATCCGCCCCGTGAGAGGCTCAATGGTCCGTGACGGCCCCCGCCCTGGCGCCGGGAACGAAGAAACTGTGGACGGCCAGCGGCGAAGGTGCAGTGGTTTTGGAGCTCTGCCAAGACCTGTTGCCTGGTTTTGGCTCGGTTCCGAATGGGAGCGAGGAAACCAGAAATTGCATGAAGAGGGGAAGATTGAGACCTGCTCGGCACAACTGTCAAAAGACTTGAGCCTTCTATCTAATCTATGTTTCATTCAGGATGAAGATGGATCAGGACAATGGACCATGGCATAAGAGCAGCCGTGCAATAAAGTTTTGGAGCAGGTCACCAGCTGCACAACATCTTCACGCATACCATATTGTTTTCTTAGTTTACTTCTGCCTGTTGCCAAGATGATCAAACATATATATGTTAAAACTGTTGTTGTCGAAACCACTTCAAATCTAGGATCTTCAAATCTCGGTCTCCAGTACAATGATTGTTTGTGTTTGCCAGTGCAAATACTGGACCGGTATATGCAATAGGTTTCAATTGGTGTAACGGCGTAACTCACCAAAGATTGGGTTGTTCCGAGACTCAGGTTCCAACGAGCTACTAGGCATCCTACATTGCAGTGTGCAAATACAAAGCCACCATGCTTCATGTTGTTGAAAGCTTTGGAACCATCCTTTGAACATACCATCGGTCGACTATCTTAGACGGTCTCACCTTTAGAAGGTCCCGTCTCCTACCCTCAACAAATCCCCAACCAAAACCCTAGGGCTCCTGTCCCATATCCTCAGGTTCGGTCACCGAACCTCATGGAGGTGGGCCAGGAGCCCTAGGGAAAATACCTCCCAAAACGACCTTCCCCCGTCCTCCCCCCGCCCCCTTCCTTCCTTCCAGTCCTTTGGAAGCCCCAGGAGGCTGTGGCGCCGTTCACGTGGCACCGACCCGTGGCCCCCTCAGCTGGCCCCCTGCCGCGGCGTTCACGCGTGCGCGCCTTGGTCAAAGGCTTCCCAGGCTCGAAGCTCTCCACCCACGGACTTCGTCCAGCCTGGGGCGCATCGAGTTCGTCATGGCCCTACGTGCGCGTCGCGAGGGGGGAAAACCACGGTTTTTTGCCGGGCCAGGTGGATCGGCAAAGAGATCATCGGAGGGGAAACGGAGAAATCGGTCACTGAGAGGATACCATGTACCTGCCAGGCAAGCCGCAAACAAGCAAAAAAAAATCTTTTTGAAAAAAGGATTTCTTTTTGTTTTCGCGGTTGTGAAGGAAGAGGGAAAGAAAAGAAAACCCGGACTCGGACGAGAATCCTGACATGAATGGATGCGCTGCCATTTTTGTTCAAGCGTGGGCAATGCAGCGCGTGCATGCTTCCGTCATCCTGGCTTGTTTCGCGGGGAGTGCGCAAGTGCAGCGTTTGGCGCAGCCGTCTTGATGCAGCTTGAAGCAGCTGTGTTTGAAGCAGCTATATGTTTGCGCAGCTATGTTTCATGCAGCCGTGCACTATGCAGCCACGCTTGCTCCAGTCTAGGTGCTGCTCTGTTGCCCCTCATGGTTCCAGCAGATGAAGGGGTCTTTGCTGCCTTCGAAGGCCTGCGGGAGGAGTGGGACAACCACCGTCGTTTGCGGGAGCGCGTGCGAAGTCTCGGCCGGCTGGTGGTTGACAAGCCGAAAGAAGGAGAGGCGGAAGAGGCAGGGCAGGTTGTGGCCAAGACGGTGGAGAACATGAAGTACAATGCCCCGGCCTTGAAGCCGATGATGGAGAAGATGCGCGGCCAATTTCATGTCGTTCCTCAAATTGAATCTTTGCAGGCTGAGTTGCAAGCGCTCTACATCTCGGCTGGCCTCAACCCGACTGGAAAAGTGATCAGTGACCAAGCATGGTCATTGCGGTACTTGTACAGCCTCTTGAAAAAGTACCTGTACAACAAGACGCCTCCTCGAGTGACTTGTCTCAATGCCCCACTCCTCTGCCCAGTACAATTGTTTGCTTCGATCAGTCCGAGGATGCTTGCACTGGTGAACTCTTGAGAGCATGGGGTGTTGACATGGAGCACTGGACG